CACACACACACACACACACACATACATACACACATCATTTGTCTTTAGTATAAGGTGGTCACAAAAATTTTGATCATTGGATGTGAAATTGGGTGGTTGTAATTAATCCATCAAAAAACATTTTCTCAAAGTATGTAATACACCCAAACTATCATATTTCACATCGGATGGTTATAACTTCTGAGTAATTGTGACCTCCTTAGAGGTGATATTAAGGTTATAAGCTATTAGATTTCATTAGAGCTACTATTCTGTGGCAGATTTACAACGTAACGAAATATCTTTTGATGGGGTTTCTTTAAGTATTGATGGTGTTAAAGATCGTATCATAAAATCTTTATGGGACTGGTTGTCTTTCACACCAGAAGGTCGGGGTGTTCTTCAGACTGACATTTTTTGTCAATTTGATAAACATAGTTTTCTCGTTCTCCTCTTTGGGCCGTCCTCATTGGACTTAGAAGTTACTTTTGGAAAGTTGTCTCAAACTCAATTTTGATTGTAGCTCTTAAGGTAATCGAGACCCTGCTGGTATTGGTGATCTTCTTCGTAATCATGAGGGGTTAGTTTTATTCTCTTTTGCCTGTCCTTGTGGCTCCACCATGGCTAATGAAGCTGAAATGAGCTCCCAATTACATGGACTGAAAAATTATTGTTGATAGGGGCTTCTCTGGAGACATTTTTATCGAAAGAGATTCTTTGAATTTTGTTAAATGATATAGGTAGGAGCAGAGGATCTCTTGGTCCTTACATGACCTCTGAGTCAAAATCCAGGATATTTGTGCTATGCCTAGCCTACAGGTCTCTTATTGCCATACCTATCGTGAGGCTAATGATGTAGCAGATGGTCTCGCTATGCTTGGAGTTCATCTACCTTCTATGCTTATCTCTTCTGATTTGCTACCTTCATTGTAATATCATGATTTTTAAGCATCTATTTAATATGAGCTCATAACATTCATCAAAAAAATAAAATAATTCTGACTTCCTTGTATTAAAGATAAATGGTCTCATCGTATACAATCCATGAGTGAAGTTCAAAATAGTCATTAGTGAAGTTCCAATCCATGAGTGAAGTTCAAAATAGTCATTAGTGAAGTTCCAATCCATGAGTGAAGTTCAAAATAGTGTTGACCCTGGCAAACATGTTTGAAAAAAAAATGCTTGAAAGGATATAAAATATCAACAAATGGCAACAATTCAGTTAGATGCACCGTCAAATCAGATCATTTCAAGAGCTTTATTTTATTAAGGTCTTCATTTGGTCTCTTAAGACAATTCCTTGTGGTAAGAGAAATACTGTCAAGATGGTTAATGGAGTGTGAGAAATTACATGGGACCTGGGAGTATGCAACAACTATCCCATGCATGTGTGTTTGTATGAGAAAAAAAAAAAATCCCTACAAAATTGCAACCATTTTGAAAGGGTGTGTTTGTATGAGAAAAAAAAAAAATCCCTACAAAATTGCAACCATTTTGAAAGGGTGTGGTTTCTATAGGGTTTCAACGTCAAACCACCAATTTTATCATAATACGTGATTTTGGTGTAAAAGATTTTTAGGATATCTCAAAATCTATTTCAATATGTAATCATAAAATTTTAAATTTCAAAAATAGTAAAAATCAAGTAGATCTATATATATATCAAAATCTTGAAAACGAAATTTTTAAATAATGTGTTACAAGATGCACTATTTTTGGGACTCAAAATCCCTTTTTTTTAAAATTCATACATCTCGATATCTAGATAATTAATTAGAGAGTTTTTTTCAATATTAAAACAAACTTTCCCGACGGATATTTTTGGTGCATCTTTAATTCTACATTTAAAGTACCTACCATATATAAAAATTTTCCTTTTAAAAAAATAAAGGCGTGTTGGAACCCTAATTTATACAAAAATATATCGATTTCATCCAGATGATCTATACAATATAAAAATAGAGTTTTGATTTCTAATTTATTATATTATATTTTTCTTGTAATTAGGGATGTCCCCTCAACTTATTGGAGGGCACCTAGAACAAATAAAAAATAAAACATTTCTAATAAAACTAAATGACCAAAAGCCCTTGCAACTGTCAAGGGTATTCTTATTTCATTGTTAGTACTGCTTTTTAGCTATTATCATCACGCGCGCCCATATTCAATGTCTGCAGACCCTAAATTATGCTCAAAATTAATTTATACAAAATAATAAAAATAAAAAACTATGAGCCATTGGATCAAGGTCTTATGCTCAAAAGCCAACTTGTGATTGTAACTCAAGTCATCCCAATCGTCTACGCAAATTGGATGCCTGAGAGCTGAGGTCCCATATGCTTTATATGAGGGTGACACTATCTATAAAATTTTCTTTAAAAAAAAAGAAAAATTTATGTGCATATCTTATATAATTTACAGTAATTAATCCGTTATTGCTTGCATACCCATTTTCACACTTTTTTCAAAATAACTAAATTGCCCACATTTCACCTATACAATATCAGAAATTATGCATACTCTTAATTTATTTATGTTCCAATCATAGAAATCCGAAATCTGGAAATTTGAAATTTAGGTTTTTCCTATTTTTGAATATATGAAATATTGGAGGTGGATAACACAACAACTTTCCCAATTGTACACAATATACGTTTTTTAATATATTAAATCTTGGAGGTGGATGACACAACAACTTTCCCAATTATACACATTTTACGTTTTTCCTATTTTCGGATTGAAAATCCAAAGTTTCACGTTTTGAATATATGAAATATTGGAGGTGGATGACACAACAACTTTCCCAATTTTACACAATATTCTCTGGATTTTTTTTAAAATTTTTTTTTGATATTCATAATCTGAAAATCTGATATTTTGGTTTTACCTATTTTCAGATATTGAAAATCCAAAAATTTAGATTTTGAATCCAAAATATTGCCAATCGATTATACAAATTTGTTTTTTGGAATTTTAAAGATAAAATTTTTTTACGTAAATTCTGGATTTTTGGATTCTGATTTCTAAAATTAAAAATACAACCAGACTTGAAGAATGTTTAATTTTAGATCCCCAAGATCTGAATTATGACTATTTGGTGATTTTAAAGAATTTGTGAAAACAGATATGAACGTAATAGCAGAATAATTAGTTTTTTTTCTTCGCTATTATAGTACACACTTATTTTTATCAAATTTAATTTTAGAAAGATACTCCTAAGGCTTTAATCCCAGAGAATGTGAACGAGAGAGCATGAAAGCATGAGAGGAGCTATAGTAGGGGTGGCAATGGGTCAGGTCAGATCTGTGTCAACCTGGACCCTGCCTGAACCAGTCTCAAATCGCATCTAGGATTTTGGATGCAAACCCGACCCAGTTCGGGTGTTGGCCTAGAACCTAGCAAAATATTTTAAAAGATATTAAAAAATATCTCCATAGACCATATTTTCAACTTTCATTTCTTCCTGAACCCAAAATTTCAAAACCTATCTTCTAACCCCCCAAATAACTTTACCTTTCTTGTTCTAATTTTTAGCCCAAACAAATTATTAAAGACATCTTTTTTCTAACTCTCTCTCCTCACGTGTTTCAATCTCTCTCCTGAAATGTTTCTCTCACTAGAGTGGTGATGTTCAGAATTCTCTCTCTTCTTCTTACCCACCTTCTCTCTAGCTTCTCTCTTGTTCTTACTCTCGGCCTGCAATGGGTCACCGGAATTTATTATCGAGGTATTGTGGCTGACCAAGCCCTTTCTTGATAGTTCTTGTGAGCTCCAAAAGTCTATCGGCCAGAGTCGAATTCCCATGATCGACATGAGAAATGATTGAGAAGTTCCTGATTCTTTCAGACGGGAACTGGCTCAAATAAATGGCAATTTCTCTGCTAGAATGGTTACTTTACCAAAGTAAAGTAAGTCCCACCGGCCTATGCTTTTTTGTCCCATTAGGCAAGCAGATGGTTCTTCACCGGCAATCATAGACTTGCTTTGTCAACGACGGAGCGTATACTCTTGCACATTCCTCAGACAAAGATAGGCTCCTTTACTCTAAAGCTTGGCTGACAACGGAACAATCTTCTAGCGAGATCAACATGCTATAATGCATGTTCCTGAGGTCAGAGCACCCCACCAAACTACATTTGCCCTATTGTTGCTCAGCTACTGCAGCTTGTTAATTTTTCAGGGTTTGCAACACGAAAAGAGAAAAACAAATGGCAGCCGAAGCTCAAATGATAAAAAAAATTTCATTCCAAAGAAAGGCCAATTTACAAAAAGATGGAGATTCATAAATACAAAAAGCTTCCAAATAAATGAAATCGATGATAACAGATCATCGAGTCTAGCTTGAAAGCTCGCTTTTGGCATGCTCAAGCTGACGCAATTCTTCAGCAGTAGCCGACGTTCTCATCGGCAGCTCCAAGTCTGGCCAATCTAGCTTTGATGATTTTCTTGAGGTGGGTTTCAAGGGGTTTCTGTTATGTGTTATGGTTTAGTTGGGATTTTCTCTTCAGGTAAGGGAGGAGGGGAAGTGGGAGGAGGTGGTGGTGATTTTAGGAGGGGTAGGGGAAGTGGGAGGTGACATGGCAGAGGACAGGAAAGAATGCACGGAGCAGCTGACAGGGCTGGCAATGTGCCTACTGTATGTGCAGGGGGAGGCGGCGGCGCCCACCAAGGACTGCTGCAGGATGCTGAAGCAGGTGGTGGAGAAGAGTGAAAAGTGCTTATTCCTTATCAAATACTCCACTGACCCCAACCTCCGCATCAAGAACAACACCTCGCTCACTGCCAAGCTACCCCACTCTTGTAGCGCCTCCATCAATATACTTCACTGTCCAGTTTAAGCTCTAACCTCTCTCTCTCTAACCTCTTTCGGGTTTCAATGGTGGTTGTGGTGGTCGTTTTAGAAGGGGAGATAGAGAGAGAGAGAGGTTTGGTAGGTTAATCGTGGGAGAGAGAAAGGGAATCATGACAAGAGAGAGAGGGGTTTAGAAACAATGCCTTTTTTTAGGTTGTTTGGGACAAAACAATTAATAAAAAATGAATAAAATAGGCTTAGAGGTTTAGAAGATATAAAAGAGTGAATTTCTATGTAGTAAGATATGATTTGAAACCTTAAGTCAATAGAGAAATGAAAGTTGAAAATGAGGTCTATAGAGATATTTTTCCTTTCTAATATATATACACCATAGATACATAGGAAAATTTATAAAAATATATATTTCAAAAAATATAATATATATATCATATATGTGTGTATATACATATATATAAAAAGGCTATTTATCTTTTGTACATGGAGGTCACAATCATTCCTATTCATCAGATGTCAAATTGATGGCCGACTACAAATAGACCATTTATCTTTTATACATGGAGGTTACAACCATTCCTACTCATTAGATGGCAAATTGGATGGCTTGGAGGTGAGTTAAGTTTTTTTTTGTTTGGAACTTTGTATTTATTCAATGACACTCTTACAACCACCCAATTTGAAATTTAAGGGACAAGAACGATTGTGAGCTCCATGTACAGAAGATAAATAGTCTAACAATCAAATATTTTAAATATGTGTGTGTATATGCATATGTTTGCGTAGGTTGCCCTCGATTTGTTATAGTTGAAGATAAACACACTTCAACAAATATTGCAATCTTGGGAGCAAAAATCTAAGAATTTTGTTGCTCTTACTCGAGAGTAAAAGAATATTTTTCCATTTAAATTCAAGAAGTTTTCTTGAAACCCTAAACATTAAATTGGAAACAATGTTAATTTATTTTTATTTTTGTTATACTTAAACCATGATGGAAATGATATCATTCTTGAAGTGATAGCCAATATAATCCCAAGAAAGATACTTGGAAACAGATCCACAGATCCAATGGACAGTAAATTGTTGAATTCGACCAAGTTTGGATAAGCATGATATATTATTCCTCTTAGTGTCTCTCAACTATGCATAGCATTAAAAATTCAGGTTTCTCCTATAAATATGGCAAAGCAATCCTGCTAAAGCAAAATACAGCAGCTTGAAGAGAAGAGCAGGAAAGGAAATGGAGAATTCAAATGTCCATGCTATTCACGTGAACATCCTGACCCTATCTGTGAACAATTCTCAAGCAAGGGTTAACCTTACCTACCCCAAATGCTTTCAGCTTTCGGGGTTAATGGTATCCGAGTTGGGGATGAAGGTGAATTTTTATGTTACTTATTATCTATATATATATATATATATATATATATATATATATATATAT